AAGTTTAAAATTTTGTTCGTTTAATAAATCAAATAATTAGTTATCTAATTGTACTAAGTAATTCTCTATGGGTTTCATGCTCGATATTTGAGGCCCAGTAGCACCAAGCTATCCTTAATTATTATGTGTGTCAATTTCAATAAGTTTAAAATTTTGTTCGTTTAATAAATTAAATAATTAATTATTTAATTTATTAAACGAACAAAATTTTAAACTTATTGAAATTGACACACATAATAATTAAGGATAGTTTGGTGCAACTAGGCATCAAATATCGAGCATGGAACCCATTGATAATTACTCGGTCCAATAAAATAATTAATTATATAATTTAATAAACACACAAAATTTTAAACTTATTGAAATTGACACACATAATAATTAAGGATAGTTTGGTGCAACTAGGCATCAAATATCGAGCATGGAACCCATTGATAATTACTCGGTCCAATAAAATAATTAATTATATAATTTAATAAACACACAAAATTTTAAACTTATTGAAATTGACACACATAATAATTAAGGATAGGTTGGTGCTACTGGCCTCAAATATCGAGCCTAGAACTCATAGATAATTACTCAGTCCAATTAAATAATTAATTATTTAATTGGACTGAGTAATTATCTATGAGTTCTAGGCTCGATATTTGAGGCCAGTAGCACCAACCTATCCTTAATTATTATGTGTGTCAATTTCAATAAGTTTTAAATTTTGTGTGTTTATTAAATTATATAATTAATTATTTTATTGGACCGAGTAATTATCAATGGGTTCCATGCTCGATATTTGATGCCTAGTTGCACCAAACTATCCTTAATTATTATGTTTGTCAATTTCAATTTGTTTAAAATTTTGTTCGTTTAAACAATTAAATAATTAATTATTTTATTGGACTGAGTAATTATCTATGGGTTCCAGGCTTGATATTTGAGGCCTAGTAGCAACAAGCTATCCTTAATTATTATGTATGACAATTTCAATAAGATTAAAATTTTGTTCGTTTAATAAATTAAACAATTAATTATTTAATTGTACTGAGTAATTATCTATGGGTTTCATGCTCGATATTTGAGGCCCAGTAGTACCAAGTTATCCTTAATTATTATGTGTGTCAATTTCAATAAGTTTAAAATTTTTGTTCATTTAAAAAATTAGATAATTAATTATTTAATTGTACTGAGTAATTATCTATGGGTTTCATGCTAGATATTTGAGGCCCAGTAGCACAAAGCTATCCTTAATTATTATGTATGTCAATTTCAATAAGTTTAAAATTTTTGTTCATTTAAAAAATTAGATAATTAATTATTTAATTGTACTGAGTAATTATCTATGGGTTTCATGCTAGATATTTGAGGCCCAGTAGCACCAAGCTATCCTTAATTATTATGTGTATCAATTTCAATAAGTTTAAAATTATTATCGTTTAATAAATTAAATAATTAATTATTTAATTTGAATGAATAATTATCTATGGGTTCCAGACTCGATATTTGAGGTCCAGTAGCACCAAGCTATCCTTAATTATTATGTATGTCAATTTCAATAAGTTTAAAATTTTGTTCATTTAATAAATTTAATAATTAATTATTTAATTGGATTGAGTAATTATCTATGGGTTCCAGTCTCGACATTTGAGGCCAAGTAGCACCAAGCTATCCTTAATTATTATGTGTGTCAATTTCAATAAGTTTAAAATTTTGTTCGTTTAATAAATTAAATAATTAATTATTTAATTGGACTGAGTAATTATATATGGGTTCCAGACTCGATATTTGAGGCCCAATAGCACCAAACTATCCTTAATTATTATGTATGTCAATTTCAATAAGTTTAAATTTTGTTCATTTAATAAATTAAATAATTAATTATTTTATTGGATTGAGTAATTATCTATGGGTTCCATGCTCGATATTTGAGGCCCAGTAGCACCAAGCTATCCTTAATTATTATGTGTGTCAATTTCAATAAGTTTCAAATTTTGTTCGTTTAATAAATAAAATAATTAATTATTTTATTGGACTGAGTAATTATCTATGGGTTCCATGCTCGATATTCGAGGCCCAGTAGCACCAATCTATCCTTAATTATTATGTTTGTCAATTTCAATAAGTTTAAAATTTTGTTCGTTTAATTAATTAAATAATTAATTATTTAATTGGACTGTGTAATTATCTATGTGTTCCATGCTCGATATTTGAGGCCCAGTTGCACCAAGCTATCCTTAATTATTATGTGTGTCAATTCCAATAAGCTTAAAATTATGTTAGTTTAATAAATTAAATAATTAATTATTTAATTGGATTGAGTAATTATCTATGGTTTCTAGGCTTGATATTTGAGGCCTAGTATCACCAATCTATCCTTAATTATTATGTTTGTCAATTTCAATAAGTTTAAAATTTTGTTCGTTTAATAAATTAAATAATTAATTATTTAATTGGACTGAGTAATTATCTATGGGTTCCAGGCTCGATATTTGAGGCCTAGTAGCACCAAGCTATCCTTAATTATTTTGTGTGTCAATTTCAATAAGTTTAAAATTTTGTTCGTTTAATAAATCAAATAATTAGTTATTTAATTGTACTAAGTAATTATCTATGAGTTTCATGCTCGATATTTGACGCCCAGTAGCACCAAGCTATCCTTAATTATTATGTGTGTCAATTTCAATAAGTTTAAAATTTTGTTAGTTTAATAAATTAAATAATTAATTATTTAATTGGACTGAGTAATTATCTATGGGTTCCAGGCTCGATATTTGAGGCCAGTAACACCAACCTATCCTTGATTATTATGTGTGTCAATTTCAGTAAGTTTAAAATTTTGTTAGTTTAATAAATTAAATAATTAATTATTTAATTGGACTGAGTAATTATATATGGGTTCTAGGCTCGATATTTGAGGCCCAGTAGCACCAAGTTATCCTTAATTATTATGTGTGTCAATTTCAATAACTTTAAAATTTTGTTAGTTTAATAAATTAAATAATTAATTTTTTAATTTGACTAGGTAATTATCTATGGGTTCGAGGCTCGATATTTGAGTTAATTTGACAATATATATATTAATTCGTTAATTTTGAAAGTTTATTTTTATGAATTAAATAATTAATTTTGTAAATTGTAATTGGATAGATTTTGTAGTTGGTACATACTTAAACTATAGAAACTCTACACTAAAAGGCTCTATATTTTACTACACTAAACGGTTCTATATTTTTCTACGCTAAAATGCTCTATATTTTAATAAACTAGGCTCTATATTTTACTACGCTATAAGACTCTAAATTTTACTACGTTAAAAAGCACTATATTTTACTACGCTAAAAGGCCACTATTCTTTAAGCAAATAAATAATCTAAACTAAATAAAAACAACAAACAAAAGAACATAACATTCATGAAATTACATATAAAACAATAAAAGATATTTGTGACAATTTCATTAACAATAAAAATTATTTATCAAGTTTTAACTATTTTTTGTACCAAGGCTAATAATTCAATCCGGCTAAAAATAACATACAAATTTAAACGTAAACATAACACAAATCAACGTGGAAACACATTCAACAAAACAAATATGCATATGCTCTATNTGGGCGATTTTAAAAAAAAATGGAGACAGAAGTCGTGGGGAAGAAGAAGAAGGGGGACCCTATATTTTATTTATAGGGAAACACAGTATAATTCTGTGTTTTCCTTAAACGTAATACTATACTGCGTTTCCCTATAATAAAATAGGTACCCTATATTTTATTATAGGAAAACGTATTATAATATTGCGTTTAAGAAAATGCAGTATTATACTGCGTTTTTTTTAAAAATAAATTAATTTTTAAATAAAACGCAGTATAATATTGCATTTAATTTTAACGGCTAACTTTCCGTTAAAGTAATACTGCGTTTTATATACAAATATAACTTCTTTTTTAATTGTAAAAACGTATTTTGTGCAAAAAAAAGGACTAAATATAGCAGCATTGTTAAGTGTTTTTCTTCAAAGGCTTTAATGTGGCTGATCTCATCTACTGAAAGGGTCAAACCATATCCAATACTCCTACATACAGAATCGTCTACCTCTATCTATCTGTGACAATAGAAAGTTTGGTTTGGGTTTTTTCGATTCTTTCACTCTTCGTATTAGTGGGTTGAGTTTCTCAAACTAAATATTTTTTCCTTGAGTTTTACAATGTCCTTGTGTGTATTTTGTCTTTGGTGATTTTCTATTGTTTGTTTACTCTTTTCCATTTTATTATATCTGCCTTTTCTAATGTACTCAAATTTGTTCATTTGTTTTGTTTATTTATCCTTTAGGGCTTTTCTGCACATGAATCATGATAGACGAAATAGATTCAAAAAGCTTGAAAATGGAGGAAGAGAAGATTTTCGAGTTCCGCTAAATTTTCCTCCATTCTTTCTTGGTGAGCAGTAAACCTTTTCTTCTATTTTTTTTATAGAATATTGATTTAGAATTTTCATTTTTCTATAAAGTTATTTTTTAATTTGTGCTTTATTTTTCTTCTTAATTCATTATAAGATTTTGAATTGTTGATTTACATGTAATGTTCCTCTTTTTATCAAAATTGTTTTGGGTGGATTCTGTGTGTCCATGTGGTTATTTTGTTCAAAATCTTCTATGATTTTTTTTTTTCTCAGGTAAACAAACTGTAACAACGCTAAGCACATTGAATTTCCTCTGGACAAAAAATTCTACTTAAAGGGAAGAACAACTAAGGTGCTTGACGATATGCCTGAAATAACTAAACAATTTCATATTCCATATTTCTTTTTCTGTAGGTGATTTATGATATAAACATCTATCCTTAGAACACAAATATAGGACATTTGAAAAATGTTTTGGTAACTATACATATGACACTGAAAATGCAGCATACCCTTTAAATGGGATGTCTTTTCAAATTCATTTGTATATGAAAAAGCAAAGCTTTTCGAGAGAAGGGAATGAATGTGGATAATTCTTTCATGGTGCCCTACATTTTGACAATGCTGCATTACTAATGTCGTTTCATCGGGAATTCATCATTAATTGAAATCTTTCATTCTATCTCTCTGTCTGGAGATCTATTTAAACACGAAGGAAATAGATAATTAATTTCATTAATTCTCTCTTCGTCTCATTTGACGACCAGGTCAGTAGAAATCTGTATCAATACAATCCTTCTTATGTGTTTGTCAACCCATTGATGATTAGATGCAGTACTTGTGATATCTGTGGTATATGAGCTTCTTGCCTCTCTATTTCCATTGCACAATTAAAATATGATATTTCCGTTTTGGTTGTTCTTTATGTTATGTGGCTTCTGAAACTAAGTAGTTTTATTATTTATTGTTAGTGTAGGAGATGGATTCATTCACTGACTCGCCCTGCGATTTATGAGGTACTACTGTATTCTGTTGTCTTTTAGATGCATGATCTGCATGATAGTAAACTGCATGCAGCTCATATTAAGAGGGAAGAGAATGAATTTTTGCTTCATCAATAAACTAAGAATTTTTTCAGGTTACCCTTATTTTGATAGCGATGGTCAAGATATTTCATTTACTGAAATTCATATACTTATAGTGTATATAATAAAAGGAGTGGACGATATATATATTGGTTTTGGGCACATTGATGTATTGTTCATGAGGAAAATGACTGCAAGAAGATAGCAACATAACATGAGTGAACTTCTTTAGACGAATAATTTTCTTTTTATATTTATGTAATAATGTGCTCTACTTTTCTCTGTAGTCTCAACCAACTAAGATTCCTTAAGGCACCATATGTCTCGTTCATATTTGTCTGTTAAGTATTAGTATAATTTCGTCACAACAAGTTCCTGCATGGATTGTTTGTGGGCTAACAGTATTTTGTTTGGGATGTAATTACAAAGTCTGCCGATATGTTTATACTTCTTGCCTTTCCAACAAAGTTGATAAAACCTTTACAATGTTAGTCATATTTGGTGCATGTTATGATGTCGGAGGTTAGTTCTTATGACGATACCAATCTACCAATAAAAGGATAAGTGATGTGAATAGGAGTTGAGCTTTGTGTAAATACCAATTTTCATCATTTCCATCCATTATAGAACATTGAAAATTCTTATGTGCTAATCATAGGGGACGTTTTGAGTAGAGTCGTCCTTTCAGAAGCACCTTGAGCGATATTTAGGAACTTGTAAAACTTTAAATATTTTCACCAATAAAAAAACTTTAAATGTTAAAATAACAAGGTACTTTAATTTTAATTATGTGATTTGATAGAAAATTAGTTGTGACATTCAAGTGGGCTATATGAAGACCTTGATGGGTTGGACTTATCCTTCGATGGGTAATACGTAAGACTCAACATAATAATTTTAACATCTTGCTGAAAGGATTGGGCTGGGGCGTCTTATTCCTTGACAATTAGCTCAAATTAAGGTGGCAGAAACTTGATGAATGGTCCTATTTGATTGTATTTTGGTCTACATAACAATGTTGTTTTGAAGGTTCTCCTGAAATCTAAGTTTTCTTTAAACTAACGCAGAAAAGAGTAAAAGTTAGTTTCCCTTTCCTATGTTATTATACTTATCTAATGCAGTAATTAGGTAACTGTTCTTTACTGCTAATGTTGATTATTAGTCGAAACCCAATTTTCTCACTCATCCACTGAAGCTACTAAAATAATTTTAACGTCTTTTAGGAGACAAATGGGTTAAAATTAGAGGCTCCTATAGGCACGCTCTAGGACAAGTATAGTTCTAGTAGTATGAAACTTTATTTTCCTTTCTCTTCCTCCATTTTGTTGATCAACTGTTTTGCACTAGCCAAACTCCAAAGCAAACATTAGGTTGCAAGAAGTTTAAAAATAAGTAGCCAAAACCTTTTATGCATTTTCTAATCAAGGCATATACCTAGACACGGTGTACGACATATATTAAACATGCCATGTGAAGTTTAATGAGGTCATTTGTTCTGCCTGCAGATACCTAGAACTTAATGTAACAGTTATTCACTAGGAGGCTTTTCCATGAAAGTTTCTCAAACTATTGCTACAATTCTGATGTCAATAATAGTCAGCATTGATATTTTCATAGTATGGATACAACTCTAAACGTCAATAACATTGAGTTTTAATGCATCTATCTCTTCAACAAGAATTACCTGCAAGTTCAAGGAACTAAAGAAGATCATACCATGTTTAGTAAAATACTGAAGGATACCACGTGAATTCCCATATCTTGGGCAGCTACCTCCCCTCCTCAGTTGTTGTCTTTCCTTTATCAGGTATTGCTGAACTACTAATCTTTATATGCTTGTGAAAAGTTAAAGTCTAAACTTTGTAAGATGTACTCTGAATCTAGGCCAACTCTAACGTGGTTCACACTTTCCTGAAATAAGGCAGTCAATTAAAAGTTTTTTGTGAGATGAACTAAAATATGCACGGGATAACTTCTACTTCAAGAGTGCACAACGCCACTATTGATGGACATACGTAATGCGGATGCAAATCTTACAGCGCTCATAATTTTCTACAATTATATTCTACTGAAAGTGCATAACTTAAACAGCAACACATCCAAATAATATTGTCCCAATAACTTTCTCTGATCACATTGTTCGGCACATGCTAAAGCACGGGCAAAAATATCTAGTTCAATAACATATAGCAACTTTTAGGTACTTAATCGATGTGTAATATGTTGGGGCTAAACGGCTCACATATATTTTTAGCATGGTGTCATATTGTCTATTTAGGGTTAAGCCTATACGATTTTCTCTAAAAAGGATCCACACCAATAAAAGATTCTCACACCTTATAATATGTATGCTCCCAAGTCCCAATCTTTTCAGCTACTGATGATAGGTAATAATTACGTATTTTAGTCGCTTATTATATTCTAATTTACTATGTTTTAATTGAGTTTGACCTTCACTCGCTAGTGTTTTGCACTAATTACATTTTTTATGCCTTGTAGGAGTGATTCCGAGCTATGTAGACATTATGGAATGAATTCGAGCTATTTGGAGATTTGAAGTCTGAGTAAAAGCCCAAGGGATTAAGCCGGGATCGTGTTTGGGGGTCAAGTATCAATTCCGGACGTCAAAATTCAAGGAAGAAGCAACTGCTGAAGAAATGCACTAGTGCGAGGCGCTGTACGACGCACTGTGTCGCACAGTGCGAGGCATTAGTGTAATTTTATGTCAGAAATTTCCAAAGTTCAGAAACTGAGTTTTTTTGGTCTGACAGGAAAAAGCACTAGTGCGACGCACAGGGCGACACATGAAAAGCAATAAGTTTGCAAGCTTTTCTATTTCGGCTAGAAAAAGGAGATTTCGTCTTGGCCCAACACTACTTGGTATAAATACATATAAAAATGTTATTTTGAGGACTTTTGACATACTTTAGACCTAGGGAGAGCACGAAGCCTCCGTGGAGGCCGGAATTCATCTGATTCTATCTTTCTTCCATCAAACTTAGTAATCTTTACGTTTCTTTGGATGACTTGTTATTTTGCTACCATGACTATGTGGAGGTAAACTTCGTGTTCTAGGGTTGTGGTTGTCATGAATATTGAAGTTTATTAATTATATTACCGTTAATTCGAGTTATCATCTTTGGTCGTTTCTCTAATTCTGTGCATAATTGCTTAATTATTTCGCCAGTAGTTGAGTTCTATTTACTATCTATGCTATGCTTGGGAAAGCCACGTTTAGATTAGAGTAGAATTAGAGAGATCTTGTTTCTGAACCCGTGGCTCGGGGAAAGATTTCGCGGTTAGGATAGAAATATACCTAACAGTCTTACTTAGTTGAATACCATTTATTATATTCGTTCATGATAGATTTAAGACCATAGGAGTATATGGTTGATATATTATGGAGAGACAGATAGTATTGTGGGCATGCTATTTATATAAACGATCCGGTAAACTAGCAATCATAGATAATTCGGATTAACATGTGTAATTACGAACTCAATATGATTGATAAACCGACCACAACCTGGAATCTATATCTCCCTTGGTTACGTGTTTAAATTTTACAATAGTAGTTGTAATAAAAAAGTTAAAGTTTTGATCATCTTGGACATTAAATTGATTTTAGTTTGCTTAGTCAACGGTTAATCTAAGTCTCTGTGGGTTCGACATTCGGCTTTCGAGTCACTTTATTACTTGATAGCCACGTATACTTGCGTGTACTTGGGGATCCAACAAGTTTTTGGCGCCGTTGCCAAGGACTTAGTAATTGATTATTTATTTAAGTTTAGCTTTTAGTTGATTTTTGTTCAAGTTTTTAATTTTTTTATTTAGTTAGTATTTTCTTTTCTTATTTTGACATGACACCTTGGAATGAAGATTGTTTGAATGATGATTATTCTTACTTTGACGATCCTTGTCCATATTGTGAAGGACCCCACTAGTGGAAAAATTGTCAGAATGTTCCCAGGAGCAGGTTGTGCTCACAATCTCAATCCTATGAGTGAAATATTTGTAACATATGTAGTAGTCAAGGTGGCCATTAGGATGGTTGTCCTAATTCTTTATATTTGTCTCTGAACCCTTATTATGATCTTTCTAATAATGTTTGTGAGTTTGATAGGATCAATGATATGGAAGATATTGACATGATGCTCATATAATGGACATGATGAGACAATTAATGGAGCAAACTCATGAACGTCGAAAAGAGATGGAAATTCTTAACGCAACAATGAAGAGAATGAAGGCCAAAGTAGAAGAATGGGCTGCAACATTTAATGATCAACAAGTTGCAGACTTAGTTGATAGTCAGGAAGAGCCTAAAATTTGATAAGAGAGTAAGTTCCAGCTAGAGGAAATTTTCAAAAAAGAGGAGATTTTGAGCCAAACCTAGCTAATGGAACAAGCTGAACGATTAGAAATATATGAAGCTCAACGTGAGAAAACTACAGATGGGATAAAAGACTTAATAGAAGGGAAAGCTGAACTGGGACAAGAGAACGAAAAATTTGGCACTGTTATTCACGACTTGAGGGCTCAATTGATTGCAAAGGTTGATGCGTCGAACGCCCAACAAAATAGTTCTGAGTTGTGTAAAACTGAAAAGGAGCTTATACGCCAAATTGAGGAGCTAAAAGTGGAGAGTCAATCATTCGACCATAGTTTTATTGATGATGTCCATGTTGATGAAATCACTCTAGAGTCATATGAGGAGTAGATAATATTATATTTGAAGACTCTAATGTGTATACATATGAGGACGTAAATAGTGTCGTAATTCTAGTGTTGGGGTATACTGGTCCTTATTCCATACATTTTTCAACATTGTGTTTGGATGATAACATGAAAATCGAGTCATCTGAGCCCTTGGAGGAACCAATGGATGAGGAACGGGGTGCTTACATTCTTGAATTCATCGTGCCGGAGAAACAGAATTAAATCCCTCATCTAAAGGTTGAGAAGTGAAAAATTTATTACTTGGCCTGGTTATACTTATAGCCCCACCACTGGATCATAGCCGCAGACTGAATGCCATGTTAAGGGTACAATTTATAAGTTTGAGTTGGAGGAAAAAAGGGCTCAAGTCGTGCCGCGACGTTAAATCAGACACCTGTTAAATCCAGAGGAAGTGTGCTAAAGCGAGCTAGATGGTGAGAACTAAGTGTGGGGTGCCCACACAAAAGATCATACCTGGGCGAAGTCTGAGTACCCATGAGTTGCTATTGCTTCGGCCTTTGGCCTTTCAGGGAGTTTCTTGTCCACCCTCGTTATTGTTTTGTTTTATTTGTGTATTGGAGACACTACACTCTTTTAATGTGGGATGAGAGAATTTCTATGGATAATTAGGAGTAGTGTGTTAGAAAAATATTAACTTCTTGTTTTTGTTTTCGTAATTGTGTAGTATAGCTCATTTTAAGAGCTTCTTTTAAGAAAAATCGAAAAAAGAAAAAAAATTAAACTTTTCCGACGATAGATCTCAGTCAATAGTTTTCTTGAGGGATTTAAGTCGAAAGAAAAAAAGACAATTTTTTTTTTGTAGGTAGTGCAGTAATTCCTCCTTGGTTTTTCTTTGTGCAGCGGTTTTTTCCAATTGTTTTATTTGAATCGGGTGTAGTTTATTTTTTTATTAGGAGTAGGAGCCATTGTGCTATGAATTGAAGTGGAGAAATATCTCCTGACTTTGATATGCCTTGAGAATAGCGAGTACTTTGGTTGTGACACTTAGACTCAGTTTTTAACTCTTGTATAAGTACCTTAAATTGTATGATCTTAATTTTGCTTAACTGCTGTGATTAGAGTATTTTGATGAGTTCAATACTGTGTGAGTTATGTGCCATGTGTGTTAAGATTTGTGTGTCATTCTGTGCATTGCATTTGATGTCTGGAACTTGCCCCGTGTGTTTGCAAAGAGAAATAGTAGATTTGTTCTGTCTTGAAAGTGATATAGGCGTTTCTCTGTTGAGCCATATATATATATATTACCCGCATAAGTGTTATGTATCGTAATTAACCCTTTTTGAGCATGTAATCCTATTTCTTTGGCAACCACATTACAAGTCTTCCCATTTGTTTGAATTACCATATACTTGAACCTTTCACCTCTCATGAGCACTTGAATTGGAATAAAATTGGTGTGGGGCGGTTGGTTTGGCTTTTGAATGGGACTAATGAAATAAGGAGAGATGTGCATTATTTTGAAAAAGTAAGAGCCACTTGAATTGAAAAAAAAGAAGGCAAAATACCTTAAAACCCCCTTAAACTTGACATGGATTATTAGTTACAGCCTTAAACTGTTTGTGGTCTTAAT